GAGGGTTAAATTTTCCTGACACAACGAGTTTCAGCTTGATTTTTATTGGGGCGACGCCCTCGACATTTTTTCGGGTGGTCGACCGCCCCCCTCTGTCCCGGTGCTGCCGCCACTGCATATCATATAAAACGTTTCAAAAAATCAAACAACTCACAGATTCAAGTTTCTCTATCTACAACATTTATGATATTAATACAATAGAATAAATAAAACAGAACCTGCAACTATAACTGCGAATAAATATATATATACACATATATATACATACAAAACGTGTTTTACGAATTCATAGTCGCAGCGTGTTCATGTTAACTTTCCAACTTCTTTATTTTGCTACTTTTTGTAAGCAGTCATCTATTTTTTTTTACCAAACAGAAATAGTCTTTTTTGCTTATGTTTAAACTACAAACAAAAATATGGTTCGACGTTACGTCGGTACGTCACTCAGTAGACCACCAACACCGAACTGACACTGAACACGTAATTATCGAACACATGATGTTAACTGTCAACAGCCATAGAAGGCACAATACCGTGCGTAAAACTGGACGAGATAGATGATCATATTAAAACAAGGACAACACGAACATACACGTGACTGGCCGATTCAAACACGAACATTGAATCAAAGCCTTACCACTACGAGACAAAGCCAACTTATATTGTTTATTTCCACCAGGAAAAACGTGGCCAACTAAATCACAAAGTAGCCCTTTTATATAAGGGATCGATCATTTGAAATCATGGGGGTGGTCCAAAAACACTCTTCCACCCCTTAATGAATTTTTAATCCATTTTTGATGATAGAAAACAGATATAATTGACACACTTCGATTTTTTTTTTCTGGTGGCGTATGAGCATAGTGAATCGTGATAATAAATTTCCGCCAAGTAACGGCGACAGTAATAGCGCCCCTTGCGGCGCAATTTGGTACATTATGCCAACGCATACAAAACACTAGTAGTTAGAATATTACAAATATGAATTGAAAGAATTTAGTTAAAATATATCTCCTGGCGAATGAACTTGGCCAACACAATCTGAATGGAGGTGCGGGGTGACCAACAAACTTGACAATAAAACTTTTGATTGGTACGGAATAAACCAACCAGAACGGAATATCGTTAAACTTTAATTGACATCAAAACACACAAGATTGACCTCCTTGCTCGCGGGAAAATACTTAGTACATCGATGAACCAACGCAAAACTGCTATGGTGATAGGAGTGTAGCGTAGGAAGGGCAAAAGTTCAACTTGAAAAAACGCTAATGATGGAATCATGATCAGAATAAGAAAGCTGTCCACTAAAGAAAAAAAAGTTACATTTCTTTTACTCCAACATTCAGCAAAATTTTTGCAAACTATCCAATACTTCGTCATTAAAAACTTGGACTTGATGTTAACGGACTTGGCGTTAGCAATAGAAAACGAGCATTTGAAAGTCAACAGGTGCCAGTGCGCCACAACCCAATTCCAGACGTTTTCGTCTCCGTTTACATAGCGTCAGTGGGGTAGATCGTCAACTTGGAGAAAAGCTTCCAAGCCTTGCCTGGGCTCATCAAAGTCACACGTGACTTGGGAAAACAAAATTTGAGCACCGCACACGCAGAAAAGCATTTCCCACATTTTTTTAGCATCAGTTTATGACCCTCTTTTTATGGAGTAAACAAGCAATATAATTATCATGTTCGAGCAAATATACTAATTTTACTCATTTAGTAAATTTAATGACGACTTATACCTTCGGAATTCATCGGTAATGACTCTACACCGGTAATCATCAAACGGTACCGAGAGAGGCGGTGATTTTTAAACGGTTGGGTTACGATGTTTGCCGAATTGTTATAATGCTTTCATACAAGGATAGATGGAGAAATTAAAATGAAAAGAACCGACACATGTATACGGTTTAAGAAAACAAAACAGGAAAGGGATGGACCAGTATAAAGCAAAACGATGTGGAAATGATGATCAAAACAGTTGTTTTTTGAAGTCAGTTCTCACAGTATCCTCGGGGGCGGAGCTACGTCACAAGACGTTCCACGTTGCTACGACGCGCACCACTGTACATGCATTTCTATGGGCTCTCTGCGCGCTACTGAGGAACGCCGGTCGAGCCGGTGAAAATTCGAGAAAACAACACAAACTCAACTTTGAAGTAATCCCGAACAACCAAATTTATATATGTTACACACGTAGGGCTAATCTTGTTACACTGTTCAGAGGAGTCTCAACAATCACCCCAAAGTACCGTTTTCTGTGCGTTTTGGGCCTTTGTTTTCACCGCCGCAGGTTGCCAGGCGGTGAAAATGCCCAGATGTCCGCCCCGTGGATTACTGTTAAACGCGGACGTTATTTGTGCGAGAAAAAAACTTTCAGAAAAAAGTGCTTAGAAATAATTTTTTCATTTGAATGGGAAATGGATTAATACTTCAAGTCACGAATAGCATACACAAAGTCGCACAACAATACATTTTTTAGTTTTTGAACGCCCGGAATATGAATCGTAGCAATATGCGAGCACATTATTATTGCTTGTTTGGTAGTTGTTAAACTGTCGACGTTTCTCGGTACTTAGTAACATCTGACGCTTTTTTTTTCGGCAAATGAAGTATTCTACTACTAGTTCATGATTACCCTCCCCTCGTGACGGTAATCAAATGGCTCATTTGGTGTCGAAGACTGCCTTAGTGGCGACTAGAGAGGAGGGAAGATGATACTTCTATCAAGGAATAACACATTCATGCGTCTTGCGGGCTGGATAACTTAAAAATAGGACAGGGTGATTCGAAATTAATATTAGAGAAATGAACACATATTCGTTAAAACAAAGTGATTCGACACGACTTCGTGACGTAACTCGTTCATTGCCACTCATTTCGAAGTGTTATGCACTCGAAAGAGTGTCGCCCTGACCTTAAAAGTTTGTTTACAGTCGGGGCGTCAAAGGCATGAAGTAAAATGAAATATCTTTGCATTAGAGGAAGGTTTACGGATAGAAATGAAAATTTATAGGACTTGAAAATGAATAGAACGCTGTTCTGTGAAGCAACACTCCACACCGAAAACAAGAAACATAACACGGTGACAACATTCATTTATTTTCCCGGAGGCGGAACAATTTTCTGAATTTAATCTCACAATTCGGGATGAAGTTCGCAGTGGAATTAGTTTGCAAAGCAGCCATATGTATTCCCATCTCGCGTAAGTAATTTAAACGTTTCCTTTTTTATTTAACCTTTAAAAAGTAGTAAACGAGATAAACCATTTGGTTGAACGTAATACAAAAAAAACATGGGTCATAACATTGGAAGAGATTGAGAGTTTTATTTCGATATACACATTCCTTTGCTATGTAGTCATTGAGAACATAAACACCAAGTTTCATCGTAACAAAGAACCCAACTCGTCACTGATTGGGTATGTATCGAGGCTTATATCTCATTTGCCTGACATATACTAGGTGTTCAAACCGATGGGATCAGAATTCCACTAAGATTGCGTTGCTATAATGGTTTATAACGATCATTAGAAATTAAAAACAAAAAAAACCTGCGAATAAAAACCATGACGTTGTTCTACTAATCAGGCAAACAGAAAGGCCGTAGTTCTTTAATTTGTTACAGACTAGTTTCGACAATCTGCCGATAGAGGACGTTATGTCAGCCACCTGTTACAGTCTCGCCCATTGATGCAATGAACATGCCCCCCCCCCCACCCGCAATTTTTTTCTAATGAGAATGAAGTTGAGATATCTTTGCAATTATTGCTTTCATCATAACGTCTTTGTACACTAATTATGTTCAGTGGGTGGGTGTACTTTCCTGGATCTGCGGTTAGCAATTCCAGACCCCAATTGTAAAGACAATGCTAAAAAGGAGACTCATTTTCAGACAATATTGTAGAAAATATATTTTACAATATGGGTTCTGAATTACATTGGCCATTTCAACATTCTGTATGGCTTGAACAATGCTCAACTATATAATAATAATTAGTTTAAGCAAGGTTATCTATCTATACTTATGGCAGACAGTAAATTAAAGTATCTTCAGTTTACAACACTTTGTAGTAATGCACTATCCTACCACTACCCTACGAGTGTGACTTGGGGAATGCGATCATGAAAAAAGATGTAAAAAGTGGATGATTTCATGCAGATGTGGATGACCTCAGAAAAGAAAGATGCGATACTCCCCACACACACGGTCTATCTAAAATCAAGTTCAGGAGGTGGTGTTCATACGCGTTGTAGTTGCAGACTTCTTACCTGATCAGCAATAGCCGATAAATTTCACTATGAGCATTCACAGAGCCTTGTTTTTTGACTATTGTGAAAAAATTAATATTCTGAATTTGTATGCATTGGGAGAAAAATGGATCCGCCAAGATTACACCTCGTTTGAAATCTCTCATTAATGTTGGTTTGACCCAATTAATTCCAATCATGCGATTTTAAAACTTTTAACACACTGTCATTCCCCGAGTGATGGTACAATGGTTTGCATGTTCAGACAGCATACTGTCATTGGTCTGATCATTATCCATGATTTCTCATATTCACTAAATTCTGCATTTTGTAGCAATCACACGTGATATAAAAATAATCCTCGGGCGGAGCTACGCCACAAGACATCCCCACTGTACTGATGCGAACCACTGTACCATGCATTTCTATGGGCTCTGTGGGCGCTGCTGTGGAACGCCGGTGAAAATAGCTAAATTCGAGAAAACAACATAAACTCAACTTTGAGGTAATCCTGAACAATCAAATTTATATATGTTACACACGCAAGGGTAATCTTGTTACACTGTTCAGGGAAGTCTCAACAACCATTTCAACAACCATTTCAAAGTACCGTTTTCTGAGAGTTTTCGGCCTTTGTTTTCACCAGGATGGTTGCCAGGCGGTGAAAATGCCCGGATGTCCGCCATGAGAATACCCAGTAGCATTCTGTCAATATATTACAATATGGCAGACCGTAAAAAAATACTGATTGCATATAATATTGACCTTTATTTGACATAATATATTTATGATATGATATATTCTTGAGTGACTTCAAACTTGTCATTTTAAAATATTGCCTTTTCACATCCCACCACTAGGTGGCCCTATTCAGTCTTCTTTATTTGGGACATGTTTCTTCGACAATGCTATCTCTCTTATCACAGTTACAAAGCTACTCATTTCGGCGACTACTTCAGTATCACTGTTAATTTCAACATCACTTTTTTCGCTACAGTCATCTAGTTTTTCTGCCCGATCTGTGCCAAGTCGTTTTTGCACCAGTCCTTGAAACTTGAGTAGTTGTTCGTGATGCTCCGACGGGATCTCATCTGCTAAGAAAGCGATGAGTTGAGGCACGCATCGTCCCGGCACGTGGATCATACAGTTGGTATATGTTTGGAATAACATAACACTACATAAATGCAGCAGCATGGCAGGCTCTTCCTCGTTACGAATCTGCTCTGCTAAGGCCTGTCTGTGGTTGAATATAAGTTGCCTGCAAAGAACACACAGGAAGCAGAATTACAATAACCACATTGAACAATGACATAATTTACATTAATACAAGGATATTTTGAATGAGACAATAGTTGGCAAACTTCTCAGCCAAGTACATGAATCTTCACCACGTTGCTTTACTTGGGGTTAATGCCATGTTACCTTACAGGTGTAGGAATGTAGAATAATATAATATTCCTCCACTATTTCTGTCTGAACACCAGGGATTATTTGCTCAACTTTAAATCAATGTTTTTCTTGTGTATGGGCACACAATTCAATATTTAAGCTGTATTAGTTCTTGCATTTGCTCTATTTTTTGGATTATAGGAATATTTTGACCATGGATACATCTCATCTATCTAACGCATGCATTATTAAAAGATAACTTTTAAATAAATAACTTACTAATATGTATAGAAAATTGTGGTAAATTTATATTATTATACATCTATCACCGAAATGTCAAAAATTACAGCGTGCCGTAATTTTGCGGTATTTTCATCCTACCATATTAGGAAATGTGAAATGTGAGTTTGACCGGATTTAACACAAAGAAGTTCGCTGATTCTGTTCTAAACATTTTGGATTTCGGCATTCCTATGGTGTATCCATGGAAGGAAAAGATGTATAATAATAAGGTTATTATGAGAATACCTCAAAGTATGCACTCAGAAAGTACACCGTCGCATCGACCTCTGCTGCGCGTCGGTCGATACTCCAGTTGTACTTTCTTCGTGCAGACTTTGAGGTATTCTGGTAATAATCTCATAATATAATCACAGTGGCATGCAATGACATATAACAAACCCTGATATTTCCTATTAAATTTAAATCTGCAAAAAAGTGAAATCTAAAATACACATTTTTACAATCTCACAGCAAGCATGTTCGCATCTACAGTGAGGAACAAAATTACCAAGAAAACTACAATATGTCACTATTTTCTCTTACTGATGAAAGAGTGTTTCCTGTAAAATTAAAACTATTTACTAATGACTCTGTGTTAGCTTATTACCTGTCTTTCTTTTTATCAGACTTTTTTAACATCACATCACAGAGAGAACATGCATCATCAAAATGACTATTAAAATCATCCAAATTCTGAAAAAAGAACAGATGTTGCATATTCTTATTTACTTGTATCACACACCATGAAAGCACATGTCAGAGTCGAAGCTCAATACTTCCAAATGGCAGAACAGTTCTTGTGCTGCAAGCAAAAGTGTTAAAACTGAAAATTATTTTCTACATTGAACTCATAAAAAGAAATCAGTGAAAATAAACTGCATACAAAACACACAAATTCTTTTCAGTGAAAATGAACTTCAGAACTTGGCAAAACCACAAAACAGATTTACTTCTATAAATCATTAGAGATACCCATTCCTATTTACTTGTATCACACACCAAGAAAGCACATGTCGGAGTCAAAGATCAATACTTCCAAATGGCAGAACAGTATTAAAACTGACAATTATTTGTAGTTTTTCTCAAGGGGTTTATTTTCTCTATTTTTACTTAAGGGATGATTCAGTGAAAATATCTTTTTTCTTACATTGAACTCATAAAAAAAAAAAAAAATCAGTGAAAATAAACTGCATACAAAACACCCAAAAATTCTTTTCAGTGAAAATGAACTTCAGAACTTGGCAAAAACCACTGGATACTTGATGAGCAACCAGATAGTATTCAAATAGTCAACAGATTTACTTTGATAAATCTATGCCATTAATAGACCACTTTCCCGAAGTAGCAAAACTGGGGTGTAAGATACTCCTGCTTTGTCATGGGGGAAAATACAACCATGTCAGTTTACTGATAGTCAATAGAAAAGAATTTTATTTTTGTTACGTCGATTGGTACACACAGGAGCACAATATCACGCGTGCAAGTTTACGTTACATCCCAATTACGCATGCGAAAAGCCGGTTCTTCAACTTCCGGGAAAGTCGTCTATGTATACTACATTGTTGTACACAAGTCAGGAATTACAGAGTTTCAATTAGAGAATTTTGATTTTCAATACTCTGATCATCAGAACAAACCATCTGTCATTCTGATCAAGTTAAAGAGGTATAATATCCAGATTCATATCACAAACTAAGAGTTCAGATAGAACAT